ATCTCTTCAGCGTCGCGGCTGATCCCGCATGGTCCCTGCTTTCCTCCTTACTGCTGAATTTGACTCTCTTAAGTGGAGAAGAGACTTTTAAATGAAGAAGTAACTCTTAAATGACATTTCTGACGGGCCAGATGCCGAGGCAAAAAAGCCTCCGCGACGCGGGGCATTTGCCTCTCCCGGGAGAGGAGTCACATTAGGTGGGCAGGGCTGGGGACAGTGGGCTTCTTCCCTCGAAATAGCCCTTCTTCTCTAAAGGAAAAGTATTTTTTTAAAAAGTAATTTTACTGCACTGTTCTGCATTAAATGTTGTAGTGTGTCAACGTTGTAAATGACCCGGGACGGTTTTATCCTCTCAGTTATTTTGCAGCAGTTGCAAGACAGCAATATTATGGGTGTAAATTGGAGCATAGGAAGTTCAAGGTGAATATCCGAAAAAATTTTTTTACTGTGAGAGTGACAGAGCCCTGGAACAGACTGCCCAGGGAGGTTGTGGAGTCTCCCTCACTGGAGACATTCAAAACCCACCTGGATGAGTTCCTGTGTGATGTACTCTAGGTGACCCTGCTCTGGCAGGGGGGTTGGACTAGATGATCTCTCGAGGTCCCTTCCAGCCCCTAAGATTCTATGATTCTATGATTCTATGATTCTATGATTCTATGATTCTATGATTCTATGATTCTATGATTCTATGATTCTATGATTCTATGATTCTATGATTCTATGATTCTATGATTCTATGATTCTATGATGTGTGGTGTAAGCGGGCAGGGCTGGACCCGCGTTCGTCTTGTAAACAACACTGCCTTTCACGGGAGAAACTTTAGTTTACTTTATGAAAAAAAACAGCAACCGAGAGTGAACTCTGGGTCTGATTACGTCTTCACCTGCATCACTAATGTCACCGGGCCTCCGGGGAGTGGCGTGAGAGACGCGACGCTGGGGTCGCCCCCAGGACTGATGCCGATCGCAGCTGCGTATCCGCGCAAGGCAAGAGGGGATGGGGAAAGGAGAAAGGGCAGCTCGGAGCTCTTTCCGCGTCTCGTTCCCCTCTCTCCCTCGTTTTATTCTCACAACGAAGTTAAACCCTCAGAGTAGGAACGATCGAGTTTTGTCCAGGCTGTAAAACATGAAAATCTCTACAAAGTCTTCTGTGTAGGCCAAAAAGTGACCGCATTTCCTACTCCATCGGGGAGAAAAAAACCCCAACAACAACAAAAAACACCACCTCCGATTTTTGTGACGATGAAATGCAAGGGTAAAGGAGATTTGGGAGGAAAACGCTAACAAGCCCCTTTCCTTTACGTGCGCCTCCTGCCCAGACCGCGTCCTAGCGCTCTCGAGCCCTGCATGTCCCACCTTTCCCTCTGCTTTTCACCTGGCTGACTGCCACGGTCCGTAAGCCGCAGGCATGGATGTCCCCCCCTGTATACAAACCTCAGGTCATTTCGGAGGTATCTCCTTCGCAGAGGAACAGGGCATCAGCGAGTACTATGCATAGTGTGGAGGTATCCGTATACACATTTTTGGATGAGGTGTTTATGCACGCGTGAAGCCATAGGAACAGGAAACCTTTGAAGAGAAAGGATCGAGAGAAAAAGGGCTCTCTTTCAAACCTGACAAGGAAGGATTGCTACCGCCTTCAGTCCGGGAGACAAATATTTAGGGGGTCTGTTCAAGGGTGGGACAGGATTAGAGGACACAAAGTCAAGTGAGGAAACTTCCTCCCCGACGGAGCCACCTGCGGGAGTGCAGCCCGGGCCGCCCCCGGCCCCCTTCCCAGCGCCGGGACTGCACGGCTGCAGGCAAGGAGGAACCCTGCTGGCAGCCAAGGCCTCCCCCACCAAAGAAGCGAAGGAGGGGATAATTATTCTTCCTCTGGAATTCCCGAGGCATTCGTTATAAATCACCCGGCGAAGGCAAAGCTCCGAGGTGTGCAGGAAAGCAAGGCAGAGCCGCACTTGGCTTGTAGCTGCCCCTCGTAAAAATACAGCTAGCAGATAAACCAGTATTGATTTGGGATCCTGCGCAGGCGAGCTCCTAAATTCCCGGCGCCTTATCTGTGCTGGGCTCCGCCGGGACAAGCGGGAGGGTGGGGTGGCCACCCCGCTCCCCCAGCACGGAGCGGGGCACCGGCAGCGACACCCTGAAGTACTGCTTGGTTTAACCAAACAGTGCTGTCCCTCGCCTTTGCTGCCCCGGGGGGAGGGCTCCGTTCCCGCAGCTCCCGTGGCACCGAGGAGCCTGCCTGCGTTTGCACGTATGTGCACACCGGGGTGCGTGCGTGCGTGTGTGTGCTCTCCAACGAAAGCCACGGAGAAAAGCAAAGACTTTCGGAGTCAAGACGACCGAACTACCAGGACTCTCTCAAACGCTTCTGGTGATCGAAAGCAGCTCGAAAATGCAATTATTCCTGTAGGTGGCACTGGTACTAGGTGTTGCAGAAGCACAGGCAGAGATGGAGAAAATTGCCTATTTGGTTCCTATATTGCCAATTGCTTCCTATAATTTAACGCAGAACAACAGAGGTGGTTTGTTTTTTTTTTGGTTGTTTGTTTTGGTTTTTTTTTTCATTTACTCTAAATTAATGTATCATGTGACAAATTAAAACCCGACTGCTTTATCAGAACAAAATATGCTTTCAAATACTGGCCCTCTGTACCTTTACGGCCTGGTCCATGACAATTGTCTATTTATTTCTCCTATATGTCATTAAACAATTGCTAGTGCAAAGAGACAATAACTCAGCATCGCTCATTCAAATTAAGTGTTTGCATCAGGAAAGACCTAATGAGATACTGCCTGGTCTCCAGAGGGGTTGGTAGGAACAAGTGACGGCAGTTATTAAATCTGTCCAAGCAACTAGCACATCATTAAGACATCACCACCGCCACCCCAACCCCAACCTCGATCTGAATATTCAAGCGAGGTGGAAGGAGAAGGACGGTGGCATCACAGCCGCTGGCCGGCTGGGATACCCGCCGCCCCGAGGAGCTGGGCTGGGACACCCCCGGGGCTCGGCCGTGAGGGGAGGCTCGGCGGGGTTCGGCGGGCGAAGCTCAGCCTGCTTTTCGCTCGTTTTCGCACAACTGTTCCCTTATTTCACCTGTTCATCTGTTTGCGGCGCCTTCCCGTAAAAATGCAGACGCCTGTTCTTGCCTTCACTGGAGGGGATCTGCTACGGACCTGAGATGGGGGATCAACCCGGACAAGGCAGCCGGGTCTGTCTGTGCCCTCCTCTCTACTGGGAAGGAGCTAAACGCTCGGAGGCTCTCGCCACTGGTCGCCTGAGCTTTTACAGACCTTTCCAGCTTCTTCTCCCACCGGGGCTGAGAGCCCCGGCCGGGACGGGCGCTGGGAACCAGCCGGGCCGAGACGCTGCTCGAGCACTGGAGAGATGTTTGGGCTCCGGCCAAAGTACCCGACACTGCTTGGGCATTTTCTAACCGCTGAAACGGAGCTTCCCTGCTCCTGCACGCCAGGAAGGAGGTTTGAAGGAAGTTGCGACCTTATCCTAAAAGCGTGACACTCGAAAACCTTGTGCCTTGATTTCTTGCTATCTTCCGTTCCGTTTCAGATGTTGAGGTCTGTCGCCGCCAAAGTGACCTCGAGACCTGATGTATTTGCCCGCCATCGCTTCAGAAGTATGCAGAAAATGTTCAGACATGGCTTGTTTGTATCCAATTAAACTTTTTAAAACAAAGCTTCCTCCTATTACACTTTCATTCTCCGTCTTGTCCCTGCTGTCAAATCAATTTCTTAAAATTGAAATCACACACTCACACATGGCACGGGCCTCCCCTCCATCCCCCACTTGGTTTGAGGACGAGACCAAAAAAAAAAAATATCTTTTGTGGGAGTTTCGGAGTTGTGAGTATTTCAGCGCACATTTGGATTTTATATTAATTAAATTTAAAAATACATATCCTTGTGGAATCTCATGCACTTTCTTACACAAACGTATAAGTGCGTGTTTTTTAGAGAGCTAAAACAAGGCAGCGGGCAGCAATTACAGACACCACATCTACCAACGAAGGATCGGCAACGTGTCCCTGTGTCATTCTCACAAAGACTTTTTCCTCCGAAAAGAGGGGAACAAGTGGAAAACAAAGCCTGCCCCTGCAGAAGGGAGGGGGCTCGGTTGCTATGGAGAGGAGACGGTCCCTGCCTGCAGCTGGGGGAGATGCCTGGCTGAAAGAGGCATCTCTCCGTGAAAATCCCCCCTCTCCTTAGCAGTCGCTTCCAAGCAAGCGTCCGCCGGGGCATGTGTGAAGTGCGCTTGTCCCAGGCTACTCTCAGGACACCTGAGACCTGGGGGTCAGGCCGGGCATTTTCGAGCTTGCAGGCTCGGAGGGGGAGCGGCAACGGCGAATCCACCTCCCTTCCCTCCCCGGGGGAGCGCGGGGTCAGTCGTACCGGCACCGTGCCCTCGCTAACCTGCTGGGCTTAGCTATTTTACCACATAACAAAATGCACATGGCAGCCAGTGATACGGGAAGGCCCCTTCATCCTGCATTTGCTTATTTACATGTCTCTCAAAAAACCAGGAGCGATTCCGAGAGATCCCGTGGGATTTTATACACCCGTGTGTAGGAATAGCTCTGTGCAAAACGAAAGCCCCTCGGGTCTCATCTCGTCCTGCAACATGCAGCACCCTTGCTCCGGGCCACAGCCTAAGGTTGTGCCCTTCCCCCTGCCTCTGCCCTGCTTTTCCCTGTCTTTCAGAGATGTCCAAAGGCTTCTCCGACACTACCACTGCGTTGTCCGCCCCCCGCCCAAAAAAAACCTCCCGGAGAAAGCCCCGCCCCCCAGCCACAGCATGTCTTTGTGTCTCTAACCTCTGCCACCCCAGACACACACCTTCCCCACACCATCTCGAAAAATTCGGCCACCCGATTACAGACACAAGGGGGCTTTGTCTTTCTGGAAGGGTAGAGAGGACTTATGCTTACTATATATGCTGCTATATGAGCATCTTTCTGCATCGATAGCTCCTCAGCTCTCCCCTCAAGGAAGGAGAAGGCTTTGGCTTCCTTCAAATAAGAGAAATAATTAAATCTCTGCAGCTTCAAACGCGAGGTGTGTGCCGCATTTTATTGGCCTGATTTCTTTCTAGAGTGGGAGAGCAGAGCAAGCTGAGAATAAGCGTTGCACTCTATA